AAGTAAATTGCTAGAACTTTATAATCTGAAAATGGTCAGCTAAACTTTCAAGTTATGTCGATATTTAGGGATACTTTATAATCTTAAAATGGTCAGCTAAACTTTCAAGTTATGTCGATATTTAGGGATACTATGGACAAGTATAAATATGAGCACACTATAATACATTAAGTGACACAAATTAATCTTAGGATTAATGTGTATTTTTGGTTTTCTTAGATTTATGGTGATATCCATTGTAATAAAACTATTAATACTCCCTCCGTCCCATAATGTATGACGTTTTTTGGCACTAGTGTAGTGTCAAAAAACGTCTTACATTATGGGACGGAGGGAGTAATATATACCAAAACTAAATAAACACTTCTTTAGATAATATTATTTCAGATTAGTAATACAAATGTATTATAATCATGAACACTAGAATTGTATGTTTCCCTAAAAAGGAATTATATGTTCAAATATGCATGTTAATGACCATGTAATTGTTACATCTGTCCGTTTTATTTAAAAAATTAGTATGATAAGATATTATATTGAAGAGGAATATGCATCTTAATCATCATGTAATTGTTAAACCCATTGGTTGTATTTTAAAAAAATAGTATTATAAGATATTATATTGAAGACTATATCAACTAATAAGTACAATAGACGGCATATATTTAGGGGGGAAATGAACCATTTGAAGTAAAATAATTTATTATAAATATGTGAGAACGATTTGCATTGGCGCACTCAATGCAAGATACACTACACTTGATGAGAGATGGTACACTTCTCGTTTTATATATGGAAAGCCATTAGATGAGGTGTCATTATGTGACTGAGTGAAAAGATGACACATACCTTTACATCTGTAGGTTGTAACTTGGGCAAAGAATTGTCAACGTAGTCAATCATTGAACGTCATCGGGAGAGGATTGTATGGAGAGACACTGACAACTGGAACCCACTGTACCAAATCATGTTAGGCGATTCTATTATCAATTAAATATCAATCCAATGGTTGGCGTACTTCTTCAATATCCCGTCTACTTCTTACTCGAGCCACCCAAACTAGTGCCTCCGGTTGCCACCCGCCTCTAGCGATCGGTCGCGCTGCCTCATGCCCCTTAACTGTCGCACATGCCATCTCTCTAATAGCCCCAACCCTAACCAATCGACCATCATAATCCCATCCACCTAGGACCGCGTGAGGCACCACCATTATCCCTTCGCCTTGCTGCGCACGCCACAACGCCGTCGTCTTCGGCCTCGGCACTAATGCGGAATTGACTAAGGCCTAGCTGAGTGAGGCGTGAGCGCCAGAATCGTTTATCGGCGCTAAAGGTGCGGACTAGGAGCTCTCTTGTAATGAAACACACCCACACTGTTATCCAACAGACAACGCACTAGTCCAAACACCTCGTGCAATTTGGGCCGACCTATGAACGCTAGGTGCGCTCCTCTCGCGTGCTCATTCACACCCTCCTCACCACTTGTTTCGCCTTCCTGCCATTCACTACTTCTCATTCGGAGGGGGGGGGCAACAACGGCCTTGTTTGAAAAACACTAATACCAGTTAATAACATATATGAAAAAGTTTGTATATTATAATTTTCTTATGAACTTTTAAAAATGTCACAAACTAGGTAATGTTTAGAAATTTGAGAAAATTATCATGACTATGTAAAAAGTTCACAAATTTGGATTTTTTTCAATAATAATAAAAATCATTGTAACTTTTTTAAAATATTCAATAATTTTGAAAGGAAATCATGAATTCGGGAAAAAATGTTTATGAATTAAAACATGTCCACGAATATAAAATATTCATGAAAAAAGATCCATGAATTCGAGGAATGTTCAAAAAAATCATGAATCTTAAATTTTTCATGAATTTAGAAACCTTCTTGCATTTGGAAAATATTTATGAATTTAAAAATTAGTTGCATACTTGAAAACTATTCAAGCTCAACACACAAAAAATGGTCCAGATCTGGCACTGTTCCAAACTAATGTTGAAAAGGTTACTTTTGAGCAATTGATAGAAAAGAAAATAATTATGACGCGATCCATGGCAATGATCATGATATAGGCATCACATCCAAAACAAGTAGACCGACTCCTGGTTGCATCTACTACTATTACTTCACACATCGACCGCTATCCGGCATGCATCTAGTGTATTAAGTTCAAGAGAACGAAGTAATGCATAAAAACGAGACCATGATGTATTCAAGATAAATGCTAACAAGAATCCATCCCAACTTGTTATCCTTAATGGCAATAATACTTGCGCGTCAACTCCCCTTCTGTCACTAGGACCGAGCACCGCAAGATCGAACCCATTACCAATCACCTCTTCCCATTGCAAGAAGATCCAATCTAGTTGGCCAAACCAGACCAAAACTTCAGAGAAGACATGCCTAAAAGGAATCAGAGATGAACTCAAACAAAACAAGGATAGAACTGATCATAAACTCACAATTGATCGGATCGCAACAAACACCGCACAAAGTCATTACATCGAGAGGATCGCCGTGACGATGATGGAGACCATTGTATTGAGAAACACACACACACACAGAGAGAGAGAGAGAGAGAGAGAGAGAGAGAGATGGAGATAGAGATAGAGAGAGAGCCATCTAGCTACTACCTACGGACCCAATAGGTCTATGTTGAACTACTCATGCATCATCAGAGGGGCAGCAAGGTTGATGTAGAGCCCCTCTGTGATGAGTTCCTCCTCCGGCGGAGTACCGGAGAAGGCCTCCAGATGGGATCTCGCGAGAACAGAGGCTTGCGGCGGCGGAAAAAGTATTTCGTCTGCTCCCCTATGGTTTTTGGAATTCTTTTGAATTTATAGATGTGGAAGAAGGGCAAAAGGGGCCAGGGTGGGCCCACATGGCACAGGGGCGCCCCCTCGGGGCGCGCCCTGGTGCCATGCGGGGTCCTCCAGAAGCTTCTTCCTTGGCTTCCAAGTTTGGAGAATATTTGATCTTATCTGATATTGGTTTTCTGTAAAACAAAAACAGGGCAGAAAACATGAACTCGCACGTGGCACTAAGTTAATAGGTTAGTCCCCAAAAATGATATAAAAATGTGTGAAATGATAATAAAAACATCCAAAAATAATAATATCATAGCATGGAACAAACAAAAATAATTGATATGTTGGGGACGTATCAAGCATCCCCAAGCTTAACTCCTGCTTCGCCTTGAGTAGCGTCACGCTGTAGGTGTATGTCCATAGGAATACAGGGCACAGGCCACCAAGCTGCATGCAGACAGACAGGCGCAGAGCGAAATGAACAGCCTGCTCTCTCGGCGTCAGACAACAGGCAATGGCAGAGCCTAATGCATGTTTGAGGAATGTGGTCGAGGAAATGTGACAGCGACTAGCAGGAGATCCTAAACGGTACCAAAGCTGTTGGCAGGTAAGTCTTGCAGGTTCTGCAGTTCCTAGATGCAGCCATCCATTGCAGCCGAGCCACCAATGTCCTGACTGTTCATAGAAAATTTCAGTGATAGCACCACCAAAAGATGATTACAGTTATCTACTAGCTAGGACCAATTAAAGTGCCATATACAAACTGGTGCTCATTTTGTCTCATAACTAACACAGACCTTGCCCGTTAGTCCCGGTTCGGGAAACGGGACAAATGACCCTCACGAACCGGGACGATGTCCCTTTTTCTACTAGTGTATGAACCCTTTGCCAGTCACATTAATTCGGACGTACCTCTAGAAGATATTTAAGCGAGGAAAACTGTACATGATGACAATGCCTGAAGAACTAAAGCTACATATTACTCCCTCCATTCCTAAATAGATGACCCAACTTTGTACTAACTTTGTACTAAAGTTAGTATGACGTTGGGTCATCTATTTTGGAACGGAGGGAGTAGAAGTGTAAATGAGAAAAATAAACAGAGCAGGGAATGAGCAGCTAGAAAGACCAGCTCCCACCTCACATTCCAATCATGAGCAACTGTAAGAATAAACAGATCTGAAGCAGCAGATCCAACAAAAGTTTCATCATGCAAGGAAACTAGCCGTGGCACATGGAACACTGTATCAGGTATCAGGTATGAAACCCAAGTACTGCAATACATCAGATAACTAGTATCTAGTTATGGGAGAGAATCATAAAACAGAACTTCAGTTACATGGTGTGTAAGAGCACACGAGAGATAAAGATTACAATCCGTACAAAATGATATTATGATGTCTTCCAGGAGAGGGTACCAGAACAATACAACAATAAAAAGATCCACACCGGGTGCGTGCCTGTGCTGGTGTCGGACGGCTACGCGCCACCCCTGCTCGTCTTGGTTCGGGTGGGGCGAAGTTGCGGCGTGCTGTGTGACTCAGCCGCGGAAGGGCACCTCACCTTGGATACAGGAGAGGAGAGGAGAGGAAGGGCACCAGGGAAGCTGCAGCGGGTCGACGGCCGGTCGCCGAAGGCGGCGCGAGGGCTGAGGTGTATCTCCCGTGGCTTTTCGTAGGCATACGAGGTGAGACAGGGGGGGGGGGGAGGGATGAAGAAGACATGGAAGTTTTTTTCTGACTAGTTAGTGACGTTTTGAAACCACTTACCATTTTCGATCAGTGTTTTTTGCCATTGTCAATTTTTCTGTTCGGTGCAAAGTGTCAAGTTTGGTAAAGTGAGGGTTTTCCGAGAGTCACGACGCTAAAGTGGTGATTCTATGCATTTTACTCGATGCTTTGTAATTGTAAAACACAAAGTTGACCAGTTGGAAGTAAATGGAGGTACCGAGTTCAGAAGTAAAACGGAAAGTGTACAGCCGGTTGATGTATACCAGGAGAACGGCCCACTTCTAATTTGACACCTGATCACGACTGTATACTATTCGGACGAAAAACTGGTCAACAGTATTCCAGCTTTATTACAACTTCACAAATGCTAATGTTTAAAAATTAAGACTGAACCCCCACAAAAAAAAAACCGCACTAACCTAACAAGACCAACCTGCAGCAAGCGAACAGAGTGCTCAATCGTACCTCACTCCAATCTTAAATTGACGGTCCCTGGGGCGACTGTTACTCTCGGCCATCAGCCCCTCCAATGCATGGCTTAGAAAAGTGTTGTATCTCATACCTCTAAGCTGCACCTCTTTAAGGTTTCTCAAGTGCTGGATGCCAACAATGATCCTCCTCTTATCTCCACAGAACCTCACTGAAAGAGCCTCAAGCTTATCCATGGATCCTTCCTCGAATTCTATCACTTCGGGATTGTCACAATGAACTGAGCACAAGGATATTGTCCTCAACACTGCAAAGTTGTGGGTAGTGCGTGCAATAAGTTTTTGGTCGACATAGCAATTCGGCCCCTCCAGGCTGATAGTCTGCAGGTTGGGCAGCTTACAAAGGACACCATACAATTGGTTACCACGTAAATTTAAAAAACTACCACCAAAGGCAATTAGATATGATAGTTCGCTCAACCAGTTTGGCAATTCTGAAATTTGGCCATCGATCCATATGTGCCGTAGGAGCCGTGGTGGCGAGGGAAGGTCAAGAATAAAGTCCATTTTGTTGCCCTCGGACCCAATGCGGCCAATGGTGAGAGTCCGGAGGGAGTATAACTTGCTGAGGGACAGCGCAAGCACTTCGACAACCTTCGGATCTCCCTGGGCGTCAACGAGCAAATATATGCGACGTAGTTGTCCTAATTCCCCAAACTCTTCAGCAACTGCAACATCATCTATCTTTGCACGTTCCACTTCGCGCAGTGCCTTCATTTTGGAGAGCCCCTTGGGAAAATGCCACAGAGAGAGCCAATCACCCTGGTTGCACAAATCCATGCGCACAAGTTTCTGCAGATTTGTCATTGTATCAGGTATCTCCTGATGGATGTGTGTCTCACGCACATCTAGCACTTCTAAATGCTCAAGCTTGCCGATTTGTTTAGGAATCGCACTGATATCTGTGCCCTTCAAGTTCAAAAACTTTAGGAGGTACATTCGGCAGATAACCTTCACATCCTTGTTTTCTAGGCCCTTGCAGTCTTCCAGATCAAGAACCCTCAGCAGGGTGAACTCTCCCAGACGATCAAACAGCTTCTTTCCTTGGAGCTCAAAATTGCTCAATGATCGGACATGCTGCAAGTCCATGCTCTCCATGTTGTTCCTCTGAAGACGTGCCACTGCCCCTTTCTTGGATGGAGAGCCCGTATTAGGTTCCTGTTCTACACCATGGATGGAAAGGCGACGAATGCGGCCATACGACATCCCCTCAAATTGCCCACCAACTAGGCTAACGAAGATAGCTTCCAAGGATTTGGACACCAAGACCTCGAGCATCATGTCATGCACCCGGCATGCTTCAACCCGTCCCCTCCCATCATAGTCAACAGCGGATGCCGGACTAATCACACTTCTACTCATTAGCTCATAATAGTAGGCTTCCGCAACGTCCAACGGAGTCAATCCTCGCTTCCCCTCAACCAATCCTTCGGCAATCCACCTATACAATAGCCGATTCTTGTTGATCTCATAATCCTCAGGGAAAATGCTAAAATACATCATGCAACCCTTTAGGTAATAAGGCAGGTGGTTGTAGCTGAGTGTCAGTATCTGTTTCATCCCCTCAAGGCTGGGGTTGCTCTCCATCTGTGAACCAATGGAGTTGCAGATTGTTTCCCAGCCACTTTTGCTCTCGGGAGAGTTGTAGCTAGCCAAGAGGCTGCCAATGCTAACAATGGCCAATGGCAGCCCAGCACACTTTTTTAAAATATTCTTCATTATATCTTCCAACTCTTTTGGGTAAGTAGCATTCATGGAACCAAATGCTCTGCTGAGAAATAGCTTCTTGGAGTATTCTATATTGAGTGGCTTAATTCGGTAGATGTAATGATCGGAAACACTTGGATCACTGCATTCTTTGGCCATAGTTTCTATCCTGGTGGTCACAATGATTCTGCTACCACATTTACTTACTGGAAATTGGGTCCGGATTGCATCCCACGCTTCTATTGTCCATACATCATCGATCACAATAAGGTACCTGGATTAATCATAAGGATTCTAGAGTAAGCAAGATTTTACGTCCATTAACAGGTGAATATATATGTACCTACACTTTATAAAATGCTTGGTCATACTTTTTGTGAACAATGCCACAGTTGTGTGTACTAGAGAACTCCCCACACAGTTGCGGGATGTTGTGCTTTACTACTCTCCTCTGCTATGTTTTGTTGTATACTTTAGATAAAAGGTTGTGTCAAAATTCGAAAGCTATTTCAAGGTTTAATCTTCTACAATTCCCATGCAGGCTTAGTTGGTAGGTTTCCTTCAAGTAGCTAGGTCTTAAATCTAGATACACATGCATCTTTGCCAAGATATACTCCCTCTGTCGCTTATCCATGCAATTTTTCTTACCACTTAGGTTGACTTTGATCTAGAAAAAAAGGATGGGGTGATAAATAATTCCTTTTTTAAGGTAACATGGGTGGGAGGGTGCAAGACCCACCCACAGTATTATAGTATTCCCTCTATCATGGTTTGTAAGGTTCGCACACATTGCAAAAAAGAAAATGATCATAATTTGGTCAATAAAATTAATCTTAATTATATGCTACAACGAGATAAATGTATCACTGCATTCATGTTTAAGATATGATTTCAATGAAATAATTTTTATGACATAATCCCTCCGTCCCAAAAAGATTGTCAGCATCTAGACACATTTTAGTGTTAGATACAACCGTATCTTTCCAAGCTTTTTTACTACTCCCTCTGTCCCATAATGTAAGACGTTTTTTGGCACTAGTATTTTGTTGGCCAAATCAATGGTTTAGTTTATTTATTAAAATGCATGCGAGCTTTAACAAACAAGGATATATAGACGAAGTATACTCCTGTGTTTTTAGGACGCTGTTTGTTTGAGTTGTACTAATTTTGATGAAACATTATTTTTCTTTTCGATTGAATACCATCAACAATAAGTAGTCTGCTTATCCGTACGTACCTCTTATCCGCGAGAAGCACCTTCAGCTTGCTGGCAAGGTTCACATCCATGGTGTCGATGTTATGGGCGGCAACCTCTTCATTTTGGTCGATGGCCTTCTTATCTTGTGCTTTCGCCTCCTCAATCTGACGAATCACGCGCTTCAGCAGTCCTTGCAGGTCCTTCCGGCCGTCAAACGCCTGAGACACCGATACCTGTGCTTGGCGGTCGAACTCTGTCTCCAGCTGCCGGCACACCTCCATAGCCAGCGTTGTTTTACCGAGCCCCCCAAAACCCACGATGGAGAACACCTTGAGCTTCTTGTCACCGTCTTTGTCACTCACCGCGTTCACCTTCTCGGCAAGGGAGTTAGCCTGGTCGTGGATGCCGACGAACTGACCAGGGTCGTTGACAGAGCGGAGCGACGCCGACACTGCCAGCAGCATAGGGGCTAAGGACGGAGAGCGGCGCAGTGCCTCGCGGCTGATGCCATAGCGAGCATGGCGTTCGCTGATGGAGACAGCACGGGCTCGTAGGGACTTGATGTCGCCAGCGAGCCGACGGCGAGGGAAGAAGGTCGCAAGCAGGTGTTTAGACCAGACCAGAAAGCCGTCGCCAAAACGGCCTTTGACACGGAACATGTAGAGATGGATGCAGTCCTCGGCGTCATAGGCCAGCTCGCGCAGCTGCTTCATCCACTCCCGGATGAAGTGGTCCACGGCGCCGTCCTCGGCTTCAGTCTGCATGCGCATCAGAGCGTTCATGGTGGCCAGTTCGTCTCTCAGCTCCGCAACCTCACCGCCAACGGCGCGGAGCTGCCGAAACTCATCGCCCACCAGCTGCCCAACATTGCTCAGGATGATCTGCGCAGCGCCCTCCATTTTTTTATTTTTTTGACGTGGTGGCTCTTATTTTCTTGAAGACTCGAATGGTGGATGAAGAGTTTTGGTGTCTTGGGGAACATCAAATACTATCAGCAGCCAGCTTGGTGCGCCAACGGCAGATTTTTAAATCTCTCGATATAAACAATTTTTAAAATGAATTGCAATAGCGTTTGTCTCCCTTCTTAAAGAGCACTCCCTTCGTTTCAAAATAAATTAATACAAAGTTGAGTCATCTATTTTGGAATAAAGGGAGTAATAAATAACATGTTGTTCACATCGGTAACGACACGACTAAGGGGTTGTTGCCGGCGGGTAGTGCGGGGAGGCCATTCATACTTTTTGGCTGGCACCATGACTAAGTGAACTGCAGCCAGCAGTACCAAGGTTGCTTTATGGATATTTGTTTTTTCTTTTAATGTTCTTTTCATGGAATAACTGCCTTTGATTAGTGGAATTCAATGTCCAAACAGTGTTTAACACCAATACTTTCTCCACTTGATTCTCAAAAGCCAAAATACTTTCTCCGCTTCAATTTTCTTGATGTTTTAGGTTTGTCTTAAGTCAAATTTCCTTACGCTTGACCGAGTCTATAGAAAATTAACTACTCCCTCTGTCTCATATATAATATAAGAGCATTTTTGACACTATGCTAATATGAAAAAAATGCTCTTATATTATGAGAATGAGGGAGTAATATCCAAGCCATATTCGCTCTCTACTCAGCCCTCCTCCTACCGCTCAGTCCATGTAGCAGTCCTGTGTCCACAAAGTGGAATTTCGTAGGATTAGAGGGAGCTACTACGTACCCACTGAAACACGATGTTGCATTAGCATAATATATAGATGAGCTACATCACAACTCACTTCTGTAATCTAGGAAACATGCACAACCTCATTCACACAGCCCGACGACATCGCGATGGGTGAAATCTGAGGATTTGTTTGTTTCGCCCAACAAGATGCTGCTCGAGGCTTGAAGACCGTGATGCCACAACCAGCCAAAAGCGCGGGTCAGGGTTAGGAAGCCAAGTATTTTTTTAACAGAGTTGTCCCATAGTAGTAGGATGCTTTAGAATAGCCACGTGGGATGATTTAGCTAGTAACATAGATGCCATATAGGCAAAAAAGCTTATGCCTCAAATAATTAATGAAGAGAGTGAGGTTTGTGCTAACATAATATGTTACTGTAACATGACATATCCAAAGACAATACCAGTCTATAACCTAATAAATGAATTTTTTGCATGACACCTCACTTGTGTTACTGTCCACTATGAATGTAGTAACATAGCATAGGGTCATGTCATTTTACTAGTGTAAGTTAAACAACGTACAATAGCATGTTTATAGCCCGCTTACATGGCAATTTTGCCTATGTGAAGGAGAGAGACATGAAAAAGTGAGGGGAGTGGGCTCTCATGAAAGAGCCTAGCTATATGCGTACTCCTAGACAGATGCGATAAATATGAAAAAAAGATAGAGAGAAGGTGAATTTTTTTTTACTTTTATTGCCAACCTTATAGCTAATCTTGTTGTATGAGTGACTGTAAGTGGTGACTATGTATATTGCACTATGGCTAGTCTTATTGGCAATGAATATTTTGTAGCTCGGTGTCCTTTTAAATTCACCACCGACACATTATTTGTGGCTTTGATTCTCCCAACTAGATGCTTGCCTGACTTCGGATAGAACACTACAATGTACTGAGGCCTTCTTCAATGCACAGGTCCTTATATGAGGTGCTAAGGATATTAAAAAGTTTAGCAAGTAAAGCCCCCAATGCATAGGTCTTAACTTGTTGTTGTTGATAAGCTTCCTTCATTTAATTATTTAGCAACTAAATTCTTTCATGCACTGGTGAGCTTCCCTCATTTAAGTGTTTTACCTAGGTTTGTGTGCTTAGCATTGTTTCTTCCCGGGATCACCAAACTCATCTCTCCCCTCTTAATTACCTTCCCACATTAATTTTTTTACCTACATGGCAGGCTTAGCACATGCAATGGGAAAGACCAAAAGCCAATACAGAGATAAAGTAAAGAAAGAGAACCCGTAAAGTAAACTAATGTAAGCAACCTGTGGAGACTCCAAACCGGTACTCCCTCCATCATATGTACATATATATATATATGGATGGCCTAAGTCCATCTCTAACACGGACCCTCAAATCACCTGTAACCGCCTGGACCAACGTAGGTCTGTATCTGTCCGCGGGCCGGTCTGGAAGTCCTTTTTCCAGCAAATCAAAGAAAATTGGGAGGTTTTGCGGGCATTCGGACCTCTCCCATGTTCACTCTTGACTACCTTAGCCGACCAAAAAACCCTCCCACGCTTGCACGCTTTCCCGTCCGAAGCCGGTCAGCGCCGCTCTATAGCACCAGTGCCAAATTCATGCCGGCTTAGAGCAACGCGACATCTCAGCGCACTTCGGCATTGACACGGCGCGACGGCTGAGAGCGCGCCCCCGCTCGCCGCTTCCCAGTGCATGCGGATGCCATGTTCAAATGACGACCCATATGCCCGCTTGCCTACATTAAACATGTGTGCGGTTGCTGAGGAATGTCGAGCCGGCGCCTTGAAACCGTCGATCTACCAGCCACCATTAATCATTTCACCGGTTTACCTACCACCCCCTTATATATAAACCGCTGGCCCGACCATAGCGGCACCCATCATCCTCCACCTTCTTCTTCCTCTCAGCACCACGAACACCGTGGCCTCCTCGAGCTCCAAAGCCGTGTGGGACAACCTCTCATCCGAGCAGAAAAAGGAGATCACCCTCATTGCAGCCGTCTAGCAAAACCTCTCATCTAAGAAGAAAAAGGAGATCGTTGCCATTGAAGTGGGCTGGAAGGCTGGCAGGGGTACGGAGGCCGGCGTTATGAATGACCCAATGGAGGACGCGGACGAGGACGAGGTGATGCCACCCTCCTCATCGATGCATGCCAAAATCACCATGGGTGTGGCCCCTGCCCACTCCATGGACATGATGCGCATGGAGCGGGGGGCCAACTTCCGGTAGGCGTAGGCCAACCTTGAGCTCCTCGACGAGCACCATCTCCGATGAGGGAGGGGCAATGACGGTGGTGAGAGCTCAGCTCGATCCAGTGCTTGTGGACGTCGCTAGGTGGTCTACGGACCTGGATGTAATTCTTACTTCTGGGGTTCTTTGTACTACATTAACAATTGATGAATACTCCCTCCGTTCTAAATTACTTGTCTTGGATTTGTCTAGATACGGATGTATGTAGACTCATTTTAGTGCTAGATACATCCGTATCTAGACAAATCTAAGACAACTAATTCGGAACGGAGGGAGTAGATCGGAAGTTTTCTCACAAAAAAAAAGAACAATGCACATCTCTCTTATCTCGACTTCTAATTTGTTGCCAAAATGATAGGTGTTGTATGCTGAAATGTTTTGGTACAACAGAGTATTGAAATGTTTACTATCTTAATTGTTGTAGGATGTAGAATGATTCAGTTGAAGGATGTAGAATGATTCAAAGCAAGAAGAAAGACCAGTGCTAGCATGGATAGAAGATGTAGCTAACGCTTATTTTTAGTACTACTCCCTCCGTTCCTAAATATAAGGCTTTTTAGAGATTTCAATATGAACCACATACCAAGCAAAATGAGTGAATTTACACTCTAAAATATGTCCACATACATCCGTAGGTAGTTCATATTGAAATCTTTAAAAAGACTTATAGTTAGAAACAGAAGGAGTAGATAATAAAGGATCATGTGAACTTTTTCTTGAAAAATACTCCACATTGTAGGTTGCCTACTTTCTTTGGCTTATCTATGTTGTCCCACTAGGCAAGAGTTATGTCATTAGTAACAAAAGATGTCTGTTTATTAGTGAGAAGGCGCTTGTTTCTTGGGCAATAATTAAGCCACTTTAGAGGAAGAGCAGCTGGCTACAAACACATTTTGCACAATTGAGTTCAGCTCTTGGTTAATTATTTAAAAAAAATGTTTGCTTGGCCTTATAATCGTCAATGTCGGATATGGAGTTTATGCCCCCGGGTGCATGGATAAATAGTAAAATATTAAACAAATAAAAGAACGAGTGTTTCATCTGCGTGCATATTTTAGTGATTATGTGACATTTGTGGAGGTCTGAAAGAAAATCCATGCTCCAAATAGAATATTTTTAAAGCATCGTGAAGTGCTGATTGTTTTCTTCTCTGAGACATCAACAAATGTCATTTCATCATGATTTTTTTTGCATGCAGTAAGAAAACAAAGCAGTGTTTGACTCACACAAATCTAGAAATTTTTGAATTGTTTTACTTTTTTGAATTTTCCTGTTCATACCAGGTGTATTTGAGCTCGGGACTAGATTGACACTTTTGTGAATTTTCATGATTTTTCGAGGATGTTCAAAGCAATCTAGATATTCACACCTTTACTACATGTTATCACATTGGAGGAACAATTGACTTTTAGTTACAGTAAAAGCATGGTTAATATTATAGCCAACCAACAATATGATGCTGCCATATCATCTATAGGCAAGGTTATAGCTGGCAAGTATAATAGGCAGATATAAATATGTACTAGATTATTGATACACGGTCAACGTCTCTCTCTCACAAAGTCTCTAGGAGCACATGTTGCAGCTGGTTGTTAATCTATAACCCGCTACTCTACACTCTCCTCCAACTCAACAAACATATATTTACTTAAATTCTTACCTTCCATCTACATCATCTTATTATACTTGCTCTAAATGGTACCGCTATTGAATACTCCATTGTATTTACGTCATAACATGAAATATGCATCTAGCCTACTTTCTGTGCTTTATATTATCGATCAGTAAGTTGTCTCCACATTGGTTACTTCTTATTGTATAAGCAAGTCTAGTCAGTAGCATCTCTCCCGGGTGATAGGTAAGATCCACTTCTCACCCGCCTTGTCCTTGCCCTAGTGGGTTTATTCATTCTTGCCCTCATTTATTACTAGATCTATTTACGTTATCGCCTGCATT